TTTTTGGAACAAATAGTTTAAACAATTGAGCTGTCCATAGAGATCTATGTTATTGCCTCTTTCGCAAAACCAAAACTTTACGCTCTCGTACCTCTCAAAATCCAATTCTTCCACTTACAGTGCAATTTATTATTTTTCCTAATCAATAAGTCAAAATTTTACGGAAAAGCTTACGGTTTATCCGTAACTTAAGAATACGGTTTTTCCGTATGGTTTCCGTAGAAAATACGGAAAAATTACGGTACATTCCGTGAAAAAAAATTCTTGACAATTCCGTTCAAAATTCCGTGGAAATTTCTAACAGTGCATGCACGCGTGCGGAGATGCGCCCCTGCCTCTTCTCCATTGAAACATGGGGTACAAAGCCCGAATAGCACAGCAGCACTCAGCAGCTTCGTCAGACTTAACCGAGTGCTAAGTTGATTATCGGGTACCCTCCTCTTCCACTCAGTCCCCTCTCCAACGTCTCTCCGCAGCTAAGAGAAACCCCGCAAATATAAGTGACTACTAGCACAAGCAAAACAACACAATCCCTGTCGTGACAAGAGGCTGGGGCCACTTTCATAGCCCTCGAGTCGCGTCCGTATCGGGAAGAGACAACATTCTAAACGTGCTCTTATGTATTCGTGGATGAATTACAGCGAGCGGCGTACGAAGTCCTCTCTTCCTTCCCTCCACTCACCATCACAGTAGTAAGACGAAGTTGTGAAATCACACCTTTTAAAGGCATTAAAGTTCTAAAGGCGTTAACGTTTTAGTTTTTTCGTAATATTTTCTGCTGCAGCAAACCAAGGTTTGTAGGACTAACATTTTCACATTCTCCTCAAAATTCCGCTTCGAACGAGCCTACATGTGATATGTGTCTGAAGAACGGTGAAAGAAGTAACCGACCCTCAGGAATCTACTAAATTTCTTTCATTTTGGATTTGAACCCTTTCACATGTAGGCTTGATTGAAGTGGAATTTTGAGCTAAATACGAAAATATAAGTTCCACAAACCCTGGTTTGCTTCATCAGAAACTATTTGGGAAAAACTAAAACGTTAACGCCTTTTGACTTAACGCCCCTGGAAAAGCGTTAATTCACGCCTTTGTTTTACCAATGCAGCTACCACCCTCCCTCACACACACGCGACGGCCCGGAGCCCATAACTGGGGCCACACTGTTGAAATCTTACGGTGAATTTTACCACAAAACTGAAACGCAGCACTGTGAATGACAATGAATATTTACCGTATATTACATTTGAATTCACCGTAAGCTTTTATTAGCGCACGTTGGACCGGGGCCCAGCCGCCGCCAACACTTTATCCAGCAAACAAACAAAGCACCGCGCGGATTTTAGACGTGAGTCGAAAGCGGCAACAGGAAGGATGGAAAACAGCTCGCGGTGTGTGGTGGGGTCTGGGAGTGAGGGGCGTAGGCAGAGCGAAACGCAAAGGAGCTGGAGCCGCGGCGGCCGGAAAGAAAAGGAAAACGTAATATAAGGTGGAGAAGGAGCGGGGGGTTTAGGTAAACCTCGTCTGGCCTACATGAGCCGGCGTACCCAGTCAGCCGCGCAGGGACGCCGGCACTAACGCGCCGCTGACCCCGAGATTTGATTTGTGGCACCGGGCCTCAGAGATCACGCTGCATGTGGGCCCTTGAGCACAGCGACACCACGCCTCTGCACCCCGTCGTGTAGCCCAGACTAGACTGGACTGTGTCCGGCCAGGATTGGATGGAATTCCTACACAAGATGCGCGCGAGTGTTTGCTCGATCTCCATCGTGCAAGCGGCAGCAGCAGTTCGGTTTGTGTTACCACAACTCGCAAAATCCACACACTCACACAAACACACACCCACACCACACACACACGGGTGCGAGTGGAGGAAATTCCTGGTTCCACCTCCCCCCCTCCCATAGAAGCAGCGGTAGCGGCGGCAGCAGCAGACCCACACCCAAACCGAGCGGACGGGAAACCGGCGCTAAACTCTGGCAATCCAGCAGGGCCAAACTTTTCAACGTGTATGGGAGGAGGGCCTTCCCCCGCCGCGCGCCGCCGCGCCACCCTCTGAGCCTTGCTGTGCGCAATGCGGCCGGGGAGAGGTGATGCGGAGGTGGTGTGCCTCTGACAGGCATCATGCAGACAATGTGAGTGTGTGTGTACGTGCGCGTGCGTGTGTGTGCTCATGTCACTTTACTTCTCGGCGCTGGCGGCTGGCACGAGAGTAGCAGAGACCCAAAGGAACTGATGTAAGAGACAGGCGGTGGGCCTGGGAGGCGGACGGAACCCCTTGAGGAATGCCACTCGCGCAGTGTTAAATTTGTCATCGCTCGCTCCGACAAAACAGTCTCACTCACCCTGCCGCGACGGAACAGGGTCCGGATGCCGTCGTGGCTCCGGGTGCGCCACCAGCTGATGACGGCCTGCGGACGAGACCCTTTGCTCTCGCACGTGAGCACCGCCTCCTGGTCGGCGGCCAACTGGTCCGGTTTGGTGATGAGCCGCGTCGTCAGCGGGTCCACTGCAAACAACAATGTACATGTAAAAATAAGTAAATCCATCAAAGTA